TTGAAAAGAAAATGCCTAATGGGTAATCTTATTATTAATTTTTGTTTATATATCGATCATTAAATTTTTTAGAATGGCCGAATTGTGACAGATAAAATTTCACACAACATACTAAAGATGCAACAATTATATTTTCTTTATTACATATCCCAAGTGTTTGTTTACTATTTATTATTTTAGAATTATATATTATAATTTAAATATTTTTATTCTTATTATTTTTCATGAATTTATCAACATGTATTTAAAAAATAAGTTAAATTAAAATTATCATAAATTCCATGTAAAGTAAGTGTTGGTGTTGACCTAACATTGACTGTTACCATTTTGAATGTTTCAGGAATATAGTTTGGAAGTAAAATATCTTAAAAGTCTATAAAAAATATATATTTTGATATATAGACCTAATGTTTTCTTATTGTTCACAATTAGACGGATATACACTGTTAAGTTTGTATGCGAAATAAAAAATGAGATGGTTTTGTGTTAGAACATGACATGAAGTTAGGTTTCGTTTATGGATAAGCGATAGGGTAATGATACGAAATGAGTATTGTGAAAGGAGAAAAAAAAAAAGAGAAAGAAAATGATGACAGAAAGAGTGAGAGTATCCCAGCCATAAGAAAGAGGGAACAATAATGGCGTGATTTTTATTTTGAAGACTGGGCAAGAAAATACATTTTTATTATTCTATTATTCAGTGAAAATCTATATTATACAAGGTCTTTTATATAGATTTCAGTACCAATTAATTAAATTGTTTGAGCCAAAAATGTATCGTTATTTAATTTAATTTATTTTTAGTTGGTATCAATTGTTCTATATAGGTCTAAAATTTGCTATTAAAGAAACTATCATCATTTTAACTTTTATCGATCTTCAAGTATGTAGCTGTTTTTTTTTTTTTAATGAATAAAATAACATATTGTCATCAATATTATTAATTTTTTATTCATAGAACACATATACCAACTACTTTTTTCTTATCATATATCATTAATGTTTGTTTAAACAAATAATTTTTATTATTTTAGAATTTATGTAATATAATTTAAATATTTTTTTCTTATTACTTTACAAAAATTCTGTCCATGTACATTTCTAAAATTATAGTAAATAACATTTCTTATGATTTCCAAGTGAAAAACAAGTAATATGTTATTTACTTGAACTTTAACGATTAACGACCTATCTGTAACTTTACAAAAAAATGATCCATTATGCACATCATTCTCATATCACTCTCACACTTATTTTACTAAAAATGAATGGCTGATATTTAATTTTTTTAATAATAAGTAAAACATGTGGGTCTAATTTAAAACTAGATACATGAGACCAAAAGTTGGGCCGTCTTTGTGTTTTTTAATCAAGCATTCAATTTATGTTTCTTGATTTTAATTGACTCATATATGTTAACATTAATTATGTGCATAGCAATTTATTTGTATAATAGTAACAATGACTTTATTTTGTTTCAAGATAATGAAAACTATTTTATTAAAGAGACAATTTTATAAATAAAAAAATATCAGGAAATTAATATGACAAATACTTTATTATATTGAATATCCCATATATGTTTCTTTTTTGTAAGTTTAATGAATTTAATTTTAAAAATTTGAAGGAAAAAACATATTCTATGTTTTAATCACATACTGTCGCACATTATTGTTGTTTCTAGAGTTATAATTTTTTTCAATAAAAATTTTAAGATGTGATAAATCAAAAAATTATTATACTTTTTATTGAATAACTTTTCATTCATTTGAATTATTATGTACCCACATCACTTATAACATCAGGCCGCGCATCGCGCGGGTAGCGTACTAGTATATATATATATTTGAAGGGGTAATTACATATTTTTGCATGGCTAACTATAGTGAACTCTTTCCACTTTCCTTAGAGTGGCACTTTTGCATGCCGAACATTAAAAAAATTTGAACTTGGCATGCTATAAGCTGAGCTGGACCAATATTTTGATTGGTCCAGGTGTAAAACTTCTAATTAAAAAAATGGCACAGTTATATCTCAAAATTGCTTACATGCCCTGGCCTTGGGCCTTCATACATGCATTTTCCTAGATGATACGACTTGCGCTTATGGATCATTGCAGTTTGTGCAGCAAACCACCAAATTTAAAAAGGATACTTGTAAATACAAAAGATTTTGGATTGTTTTGTAAATGAACTACCCTTCAATTGATTCAAACCTCCACCAACTAAAACATGTGAGCAAGTAGTAAGTTTTTTTTTTTTTTTTTTTTTACATTTTGTTCCTTTATCTGCGGATTCATCATCAAGGCTCTCAGGGAGGAGAGAGAGTACCTAGCAAAGAGGGTGAGCTCGAAGCTGACAGCGGAGGAGAGAGAAATGCTGTACATGAAGTGGGAGACTTCATTAGAGGGCAAGCAGAAAAGGAGACTGCAGCTGGTGAACAAGCTGTGGACGAACCCTTTGGACATGCAGCACGTCAAGGAAAGTGCCCTTAAGCTTGTCGGGTTTTGTGAGTTGTCTTCACAGCCCTTGTCGAGGGAAATGTTTGCGCTAAATTTCGCGCCTCTTACGGACAAGAAGTCGTGGATGGGTTGGAACCTTATATCAAACCTCTCTTGCATTTGTAGAGGGATATGATGTTTGTGTATGTATATATGTGATGTGTGATGAGCTTGTGCAATGAACTCTCTGTTTTGTTATGATTTTTTTTTTTTGAATTTTTCTGACTTTTATGGATTCTCAGAATATGGATGAATATGAGAGGAACAATGGAGGAAGAGACTGCGAAGAGATGGCAAGGGAGGATGTAATATGAGTGATAAGTAGAGAGAAAATTTGATTTTGGTGTTAACTAATTCCTGCCAAATTATCATGCTCATCTCTCGGTTATATGCCTTCGCGTGGGACCCACTATTTTGGTTCCCTTTCTAGTGAATTACACATAACTAAAAGTAGGAAAAGATAAATAGATAATGGGCCTTGATACTTAAACTCGAATGGGATGTTTGACAACTCGGCCCACATAAGCTGTCTTCATGTCCACAATCATCTTCCTTTCCTTTACCTTCCTTTACCCGGATCAATTCTCTTTCAATTTAGAGTTTCTTCCTTTGCTATCAATTCTCCACCTTTTCACCATCTCCGGCCAACATTATCACCAAATCATCAATGTTTGTAACATTTTCCCCTTCTTTACCAAACCCTTGTCCTCAAGGGTTAAAATCTGGCATTGTTTTTTTGATGGACTTCTCGTCTTCCCAAGTAGGTTCAGTTATCTTGAATTCATCGATTTGGCCGACCTATTCCTTGCCACGCCTCACAGTCCTCTGAACAATAAAACAAAGTGGAGCAACCTTGAAAATTTCGTCGGAGGTTTGCGCTGGATGATCGTGAGTGGAGGGTGAACTCTCGAGGCAGAAAAAGACGGATGTCGAATCGATAGTAGACATGACACCAAGTCAGATGGTTGTAAAGCGCAGATCCAATCATATAATCGTCAGTCGGCATTGCCGAGCTGAAGACTTGGCCAAATCGAGAGAGAAAACTTTGCGCAAAGTCCCAAGCCGATCAGACTAAAGAGTCAAAAAATACTAAAATAATGGCAACTTGCACCCGCATCATTAATGACGGGACAAGCCTGTTCGCCTACACAAAAAAACTGCATAGGGTCATGGTGCAACATTTAATGTCTGTCATTTCTATATAATGCACGGTTGTACTGTTCGAGGAAACAGTACCCGAGTCATACTTACTATAAATAGTCCTAGAAATCTATAGAGAAAGGGTTTAAAAAAAATTTAGTAACTGAGAGAAGAATTTTCTCTCATTACATAGAGTAGTTAATATGAGCATCGAGCTCATTTGCCAAAGTATCTGACCTCTTTTTTTAGTTATTTTAACAGATTAATCAACTGGTAATCAACACTAAATCGGCGCATTTGGTTGGTCAAATTTTGTGATCAACAGTTTGACGTTAGAAAAATGGCTCATATGGTTTGAGGTTTACTTTTTAACTCAAAAAATATAAAATAAAGTAACCACATCTACCAACTGCAACAAAAGTATGAACATCCATAGTATAAATATGTATTAGTGAGAAAGTATAAGGCAGCCTAAAAATAATATTTGTACTTTTATTAAACAAAAAAAAACTTTGTTTTCACTTTCAATTACCTTTTTAATTAACTAAATATTGACTAATGAAACTAAATGACAATAATTTTATATTTCAAAGTTAAATTTAATAACATAAACCTTGGTTAATTAAACAAAACTATAAACTTTTCTTTCGCCTCTCTTCTCTCTCAAATTTCAATTAGCATGTTAAAGGGATCTCCGGCGCCCCTCCTCCACNNNCCTCCCCCCTCTTAGATGCCACCCTTTCGCGGTCGTCCGGTTCATGGATTGGGTCGACGGCGGCCATTTGTCCTTTTGCTCAGCCGATGTGCACGAACGAGTCGGAGCCTACGACTCCTCTAGCATGGCTCGTCTGGTTGGCTCCCTCGGTGTCCGTTTCTTTCCCGACTTGAGGGCTGCGGGAACTCAAATTTAAGCTGAGACTCGTCTTCTTGCTAGATCTGACTAGGCGCTTAAATAAGTTCGTAGTTTTTTGTTCTAAAGCCTCTGATTTGCTGGCTTCTTTTGGTTTTTTAGTGTGGGGTTGGATCGTTGCGGGGTTTGACTCTTGTGCTGGTTCGGGTGATCGTAGCGGTGTGCTCATGAGTTGCACGGAAAGTAGTATTCTACTGTTAGAGTAGGTGTGACTTTTACTTTTTAATTTTTTGTTTTTCTTCAAATTTGTATATTTCACTCCGGTTGCATTTGGTTTTTAGTTTCCTTTAGTTAAAAGAAGGGTATATGAGTCTTTTACAAAATATTCATCCGAGTTATTACACTCAAAAACCCTAGCAAATTGAACCGCAGATTTGCAACTTCTAACCTTGAAGAAAACGAGAGAAATAACAAGGAGTTCTACACACAAAAATTGAACGACACAAAAAAATGGGAAGAGAGATGTCTAATCCTCCGGCCAACCAGAAGCAGCCGTCATCGGTGGCGTACACGGTGGAGCAGCTCGTCGCCGTCAATCCCTACAACCCCGACATCCTCCCCGATCTCGAAAACTATGTTAACGAACAAGTAAGTATGCTCTCCTTTGTTTTTTTTTTCCCTAATTTCTGTGTATTATAGTACATATGGTCTCGTTGGTGTCTACGGTTTGTGTGGGTGTGAGAAAGTTCTTATTTTGATATAATTTTCGATGTAATTGCAGGTCTCAGCGCGAACCTACAGTTTGGATGCAAATCTTTGCCTTTTGCGTCTCTACCAAGTATGTAACTTTAGTATTTGTTTTGTTGTTGAGCTGGAAAAAATAGTTCCGTTTAAGTGTATCTTAAAATTGATAGCTTTTTTTGATTGTTCTCTATTTGGGTTGGCAAAAAATTGCAGTTTGAGCCTGCGAGGATGAGCACCCAGATTGTTGCTCGCATTTTAATCAAGGTGCCCAGAATAAAATTATCGTCTTTCACAACATCTTGTTTATATTTTGCTTGGATGAACCGCGTTTTTGCTATTTTTGGGCAGGCTATAATGGCGATGCCGGCCCCTGATTTCAGCCTCTGTCTCTTTCTAATTCCTGAAAGAGTGGTATTTGGCGAATTCTTGATGTCTCTTTCTGAATAATTCCCTGTTTTTGTATATGCCTTAAGCATTTTATAACTGGTTTTTGAGAATGTGGGATCTGGGAACATGAGAAGATGGATTTTTTTTTTTTTTTTTACGAGGAAAAGTAAATTTTATTGTAGGCGGGTAATGAGCTTGTAGTATTATTCGTGGATCTTTTCCGTATAGTTACGGTTTTCTTTTCCATGAAACTAAGGATATGTCCCGTTCGTTGATGATTAAGACCGTGCATACATTATCTTAATTTTTTTCCTCAAGCTTACGTGTCTGTCATATTATGCATTTCCTTTTTTTTCCTCAAGCTTACGTGTGTGTCATATTATGCATTTCCTTTTTTTTTCCATTCTTCTGAACTTTGTGGCTTTTTACATCCTTTACTGAGATATTTGGCGACATTTTACTTTAAGTTTCACTGGTCGTCTCACATGTCCTTTTGCAATTACCAGCAACTAGAGGAGCAATTTAAGACTCTCATTGTTTTGTCGCACTACTTGGAGGTACTTGAGATTTGAGAATACATCAAATTTATTTTCGCCTAACCTTGTTGTTATAGAAGAGTCTCACCCTGTACCTTTTCTCTCTCTACAGACGGCCAGATTCCGCCAGTTTTGGGATGAAGTTGCTAAGAGCCGCCACATGTTAGATGCTGTTCCAGGTATTCAGAATCGAACACAGTTTCTTCCTTTTGGTTCTCAGGCTGCCAATCCAATTATTATTCTGCTGGAACATTTAAGATACATTGCACTTCTTTACACTTGTGATCTTGGAAGGAAAAAAAAATATAAGAAAAAAAAAAAAGAGAATTTTTTTGGAATGTATGGATTACTTTAAATTGCTTTCCCTTGACACCTGCAATATATTAGATTAATAGAAGCATGCAATTAAAGCCCGATTTTTAATTTGCAGCTCGTATACACGGTTATTCATTTGTTAGTTAGTCGTACATGATTATCACATCTAATAATTTGTGCTCACACAAATTTGGATTGCTTCCTAAGCTGGAACTCCTGTCAGATTTTTATAATATTCCCACACATTTGAAAATACATAATCTTTTAGATCAAGGTTCGTTTATTCAAGACTTGTCCTTGTTTTGACCTGTCTTTTCTTTTTTCTCATATAGTAACAGAGTCAATATCTGTCATTTTATACAATATCTTCTGTTTCCTCATAGAATAATAATCTCTTCTTAAAAATAAAAATTTTGCTCTACATTCAGTTCTCATCCTCCACATTTATAGCTGACAACTATATGCTAAACACTATTTATATAGGCTTTGAGCAAGCAATTCAAACATACGCCATTCATGTCCTTTCACTGACTTACCAAAAGGTCCCGAGGTCTGTTCTTGCTGAGGTATATGTTTCTCTTCCTGCACTTTCTCAGTTATCATTTCAATTATTCTTTCGGTCAATGTCTATAAAAACCTTACACAGGTTTAATGTGCTAATGATAATTTAATGAAATCTTCAGGCCATCAACATCGAGGGTCCGGCACTGGACAAGGTAATCGACTACCACATTTCAAACTCTGGTTGGGAGATTGAGAAGAACGAAAGCAAGGGCCCACTTATTGTGCTTCCCCGTAATGAATTCAACAATCCACATATCAAGAAGAATGCTGCAGATGGTGTACCTTTGGAGAAAATCGCACGAATCATCCCAATTCTTGGTTGATCTTGTGCTAGGTAGATCGACAATTGCACTGTGTTGTTTGTTTGAAGGGACAACATGATTGAATTTAAATTGAAGTTAGATTTTGATTCTTGTAATGATGCAGTGGAAAACAATGGGATTAAATTTAAAGTAAAATTTAAAATTTTGAACTGTTTAAGAAAATGCAGTTTTTGGCGTTTTGCATTATACCATGATTGTTGATTTTACTAATCATTGTTAAGTACACATTCTTCCTTCATAGCTACTGTAATGTACATTTTCTCCAGAGAAAAATGCATTTATATAAGCCAATTGAATTTTCGATAGTTTTTAATTGAATATATAGTTTTAAATTGAATATGTGCATATTAAGATTTGTATAGATTTCAAATACGAAAATATCGTTTTAAATTGAATATGTGCATATTCAAATTCGTATAGATTTCAAATACAAAAATACAAAATACTATTATTCGAAATTTACAAATACAAATTATGAAAACGAAATATAATTAAAAAAAAAAACAATTATATTACAATCCTAATTTTAGGGTGTGTTTGTAAAAGAATTTACTCAAATCAAATCAAGTTAGTTCATGCTTAAAATTCAATTCAACTTTAATTCAATCCTACTATCCTCTATTATTAATATAATTAAATGATAACAACCAATCATTAAATAATAACAACCAATTATTTTTATACATCATACCAACTTTAATTCACTATTCATTCTACTCGCATAATTTTAACTAACCATCACATTATATTATCCCTCTTACTTTTACTTCAAACCAATTTTAATTATTTTATTTCAATATTATTTTAATATGAACTCAAAATCCACTAACAACTAACTACACCATTTTTTCTAAATTAACTGGTTAACTCAAAAAAAAAAAAAAAAAAATCACTTTGAGTTAATTCATTCAAATTATTCCTTTAACAAACCGACCCTAACTACACCACTTTTTCTAAATTAATCCTGATTAACTCAAAAAATTTCATTGAGTTAATTCACTCAATTATTCCTTTAACAAACACACCCTTAGTCTCCCGTTCTTTTCAAATAAACAAAGTTGGTAATTTTGTAATAAAATAGAAAATATACGCAATGGAAGAGAAAATTTGTAAAACGAATAAAATCCGGTCGAAGACACAAAATAAATGTAAATAATCGATGAGCCTATTTTATTACATGAGGTGAAGTTCCCCCAAGAACATTTCATATGTACAACATAGAATTCACATAATTTCATTAAAAATTAACATATAGAAACAGATAAATGTTGGCTATTTACTCTTTCATACTACCCGAAAAGAAAAAAAAATAAAAAAAAACAGACTAAAAAAACGGGCGATCCCTACTGAAGGATTCCATGTATCGAAATAAACGTATAATGCTGCATTTTTCACATACTTGTTTTCTCCTTCACTCTGCCTGATTTCTACATATCATTGCAAAATTAACCAGAGAGTAGGACCTGCAGAACTTTTACTCTTTTCAGTGACATAGTGTTTCCCCATTTGTCACCCAACGCACAAAACTATCCGGAAATTCGCCAAAAACTTCCGAGTCACGAGCTTCATCGTAACACAACTCGGTTCTAGTTTGCTCCTTCCCCTACAAATATTGAAGAATTAATGACAAAATGACAAACATGTTCACTCTAAGATTTTTCTTTTTTTTTTTATTTAATATTATTTTTATGCACTATTTATTTTAGATTATTGGAACTTAACAGAAGAATGAGGAAAAAGCTACTAACCCTCGTGCTCGGTTCACATTCACTGGTAGATGGGGTTTGCTCCCCAATCAGTACATTCTCTGATGACATATGCATCGACCTGAGCATAAATCAGAGTACATTCAGCTTCATCGTATAATTAAACCCATTTCAATTAATAAGGGAAAAATTATGAACAAAATATTCAATCAATACAGTAGAAGAACTACCTCTCCAACAACTCTTCTTCGAATGAATTACAGGAGGAGGAGAGCCAATCTACGTCAACAAAGTTAGAGCAATCAATACTGTTCCAATTTTCATGTTCAATATCTCTCTCTCGTTGCATTTCCGAAAAAATCTCTCTAGCAGGCGGATTACATCTGCAAAAAGAAAGTTGAAAACGATAAGCGAATAGATCCTTATATAAATGGGTGAAAGGGCCAAAAGAATCAAGTGCAATGGGAAAAAAGCCCAATTTTTCTACCAAATAAGTCGCAAAGAAATGCAATACTCTCGTTGAGAGTTCACGCTCAAAGCTCATCTACCCTAAAATATGAAGTACCTTAAATATGCTAACTGTGCTTCGGAAGTCGACATGTCAGGTGCCGACTCAGAAAGCATTTTAGTACTTCCTGTATTGAGGTTTGAGGAAGATGTGGGAGAACATTGTTCACGAAGAATGTGACCCTCTGACCATGATCTTTTAACCCATGACCTATACATGCAGAAAAGTAGTGTAAAGTTTTGGCAGCACACTGCATAAGGTTATATAGAATAATAAGCACTAGGTAAGGCTTTAACTCATTAGTCACAACAAGAACACTAAGCAAAGTAGACTTCTAATATTTGAAGTGTAGAAGAAAGCAAGCAACCGAGTAAGATGGAGAATATGACACCTTAAGTGATTATAATATAATAGTTGAGACAGATTTCCAAGTGATGGAAAATTTTGAGCTGCAATTATATCAGAAACTTTGAAAACTATTGACATGGACGCTGCTCAACTGCTCATAATAGCTGGAGAAAGTTGTTGCCATGGATCGGGGCCGGGACATCGGTTTTTTTTATTTAAATTATGCACTGCCATGTGCTGGTAAAACAAGCACTTAATCCATGATGAGAACTTAATATTTTCGAGAGGACTAGGGAATGAATTAGTATTTGAACCAAATAATTGGTAGAGAGTACCTATAACTTATCCAGAAGTTTTCACCAATTTATTGAATTAAAAAATTTTGTCTGCCAGTAACATGCAAAGAAAATTCAAGTAACGTTCTCCAATTGCTCAGAGAAAAACTGCAGCATTAACACAGATAAAGAACAATTATAATCGAATGTAAATATATGTACCTTCCATTATCATCGATATCTGGGTATTCATTCCTTCGCAGATTAAACTGATCAGAATCAAGCTCCCACAGATCAGGTTTGCCTAGTTGTGGCTGAAAATGTCCCAAAAATCTGATCAAACACAAACAAGTTTAATTAATGTCATGTCAACACATTATCTGATTAGAATTCATAGTCTGCTAGTAGTGGTTGACATAATATTTTGGACAAGTACATAAATCAAGTTCCTGCAAGACAACTTAAGATGGATTATCAAGAATTTCATACTACCAGACTTCTCATTTAACTTTAACCTATTTAATCTCGTTCCACATGAGAAATTCAAAAAGGCACATTCAAAATTGTTAACACCAAACCTACATATTAATTGCATTTTGCTTTTCTGCATCCACATAAGCATTGCTGTAATATCTTTGTAGAGTTCGGAAAAATTCCTGAGACTGTATCGCAGCTTTCCATTGGCCTCTTCTCTCCGAGAAAATCTAATGAAATTAAGGTATACCAAAATGTTAGCAGATGCATAAAACATAGTTAAACAGAAAATTTAAACGGACACACTACCGAAGTCCCAAAAACACAGTTTATACACTCTCTTCCTATTGTGACCCTTAGAAAGGAATATTTGTATTTCAACAATACCAGAATGAAAAATGCTGCATGCATACTGTAACAGAACCGAAATCAAGGTGTGGGAAGTTTACATTGTTCTGAACTAACTTTTTCTAGGGACAGGGTTCAACAATTAAGAATATAAAGGCAGAATTGCAATTTTAGTCCTGTTGGTTTCATTCGGTGGCGTTTTTAGTCTTGAGATTTGAAAATTTTGCTATTTGGTCCTATGATTTAAAAATTCAACGCAATCTCAGTCCTTTGAGGATGAATTTTTGGGATGAATATTTTATTAGCAATTTAACTCTTGTAATTTTAAATTTTGTTTGCAATTTCAGTCATTCGAGGACTGAAATGGCAGCAAAATACTAAATCATAGGACCAAAAGGTGAAAAGTTGGAATCTTGAGACTAAACATACTATGTTGTTAAACCAACGGGACTAAGAATGGAATTTTGCCGAATATAAACCCTTGTGTTTTACCTAGTATATGGCCATTAAGAGAAGTATTACACAAAATATTACCTTGTTGTGGGCAGCTGATCCCCCATATTGATGTGCAAGAGTATCACCCATTCTCTCATAAAAACCCATTAAGTCCTCAGCCAGTGGGTCATCAAGGTCTAATTTTGTCGAAGTAGTCACTCCCAAAGCACGAAGCTGATGCCCTAAAGCAGCCCAGCCATAAGCGTATTGAGCCACATTTGTTCGATCCAAACAATCTATGCAGTTTGTCCGGAGCACGCCCCTTTGCACCGTTGGCGGTTTGACCGAAAGATTATTATTATTATTATTATTATTCAAATTGTTGTTGCATCCACCAGACTTTTTTTCCAAGTCGTCAGAATCTTCATTCTCGTCAAAGTTATGTTTCGCTATATCTGTTTCAGGATATGTTGTGGCCGAAGAATCAGGAGTAACGACATTCCTGAGTCAGATTAACATTCGATAAATTCAGTTCAGCATATTATACTCAATTATAGCTGCACAATACGTAATATTGATGAAAATAATTACATGTTACAACCTATGAAAACAACAAATGTCATCAGGGCTAAAGTATCTCCATAATTGTAAATTGCCTCACACAAGTTAGCTAGCTAGTCCATTGATTTGGTTCAAAATTGGATTTAAAAAACCATAAGAAGAATAACCAGCAAGATTGAATACCACTGGACAACATAAACAGAAATTCTTAGGGTTCAATTGGATGTTTAAAAAAATTAATCATTACATTTTTCTACAATATCCAATCATAACTATTACCATTCTCTAGTGGAAATAAAATTTTAAAATAGAAAATGGAATGGCAAAAGGGAAAAATAAACGACATGATTAAAGTGGAGAGGGGAACCTACTCAAAACTAGGCCATTTGAGGTGCCCCTCGGATAACAATGCAGGTGTTACTTCACAGTAAAAGAAACCTGTCAGCGTCAGAGCATAGGCAGCCACCTTTCCCAAAAGTAGCAAAACATTTGTAGCTTTGCTGAAAAACAAAAAAAAAAAAAAAAAAAAGGTTAATTTTACTCTTAGGTCAAAAGGCCATGCATAAGCAGCAGTACTACAAAGAATGAACAATTTGGTACCTCCGGGAGTGTTTATGCAAATCCCAATGAAGAAATTTAAGCCGATTCTCCTCTGGCAGATTCTTATTAATGACTTCAATGGCATTAGCAAATTCTGCACGGAGAATGGATTCTCGAGGCTTCTTTTCATTTGTCTGTACAGAATCTTTCAATAAGCTAGTGTTCCTTAGGGAGCCATTTTAGGATAACAAGAATATTAAATGTTTGTGTCTAATAATCTACTTTAGGCTTAATACATAACAGAAAACCCCACAAGCACACGTCAATCAGTCATGATAGCACAAATACTGCAACGCAAAACTTATAACTTCCTCCTACCTTAATTAAATTCAAGATAATGATCGGATTTCCATATCTCTTGACAAGATGCTCAAAATGAAGTCTAGTAGCCTCATATGTTTCATCCCTCTTCGACACTGGCATAACACAAATAAGTACAGCGAGTAAATACACAGATGTAAAGGAAAGACTCACAATTCAGATATAGAGTATTCAGATTCTCAGCAAAAATTAAGTAAAATTTTATAAACGAAAAAATTATTTAAACATACATATAATATCAGGTTTAAGGTTTAGCCGGGAAGTTTCTTGTGACCAAAAGAGTGGGATCGAGCCACGGTTTTGGACCACAGAACTAATTTGCATTGGCACTCCTTGAGGACCATCCTCAACTACAATTTGCTCCGTTTCCACATCATTTGCCACTCTGCCCTTCTCGTTCACACCGCGTTTAAGATATCTACATGACAGAATATGATGAAACATATAATTCTAAACTAAACCAGGCAAATAACATATGAGTAATTGGATTAACAATAACTTTATACATAATCCAGCAGTAAATTTAACAAAAGGAAGCAGCATAAAATTCGTTGTCTACACTGCACCCTCTACCACTAAGACAAGTGTAGGGCATCTTTCTACTTAATATCAACTTCCAAACAGTTCGAGTTTTCCACATCCATTACAAGAAGAAGATGAACATTCAAAGATCAGTGCTGAGCTGACAAGTTGTAGAGCCAAATATGAAACTGAGGTATTGAACCATTGTGAAGAAAGTTTTGAAGGTTGATCAAGGGTTACTCTAACTTGAAATCTAAGCAGAAAGTAACTCAAACCAAGTAAAACCCAACAAAATATATACAAACCAATAAGATTTCCAGAAAAGACAAGTATATCAAATATTTCCTCATAGAACCTATTAAATGGACACAGGGTGGTCATGTAGTGCAGTCATTGTTTGAACCCTATGGAAAATGCCTTAGAACATATGATCAAGTAATATCGGAAAATAGTAGTCTCAACGAAAGAATATTTGGGATTAAATTCACAACAATGACTTCAAAAATGTCATACGAGTTGTAGATTGTAATCTAACCTGGTACCAGCATAGTGCCGCGAACGCCTTGCGATCAGAGTTAGTCGGAGATCCCGCCCAGATATAGAAAATGCAGCCTGGATACAAATCAAGTATAAAACAAATTTATCAACTTCTTAAAGCTGCAGGTACCATCCAGATGAATATCATAAGAACATGCAGTGTAGCTTCGCCAAAAATACAAAGACATTACATGTTAACGTTATTGGTGAAATACAAGAAAACAGATAAGTAAAAAAATACATTCAATACAGCAGAGCCTCACTTGCTTAAAAAAGCCATAGACCAGTGCCACAGTCCACAGAGTATTCTGAAGAATATTACGTATTCCGCGAGTAAGAAACTCATTCCAGACAAACATAGTTTCATACAAGACCGGTCCCGGGTTTTTATCACACATGTTCTTCTGGAGACTCCTCATAACATTGTAGGAGTAACTGAAGTAGAAGTCCTTAGTAAGATCCACCATACACAAGAGCTTCTTGTATCTGTGAAACCAACAATAATTTGTTAACACCCAACCAAAACTTTCTTCAGATCTCATTAGGTATAACATTAGGAACAATAAATCTAGATATGTACTAGTAACATAAAGCAACAATATTATTTTTAGAGGGTAAAAAAAAACATACAGTACTAGCACAAATGATTTAAACAAGCTTCCAATCACAACCAATTACACGAAAGACAGATGCTCAGCTGTAATAAGAATATATTTACAGGAATATATAAGTCTACACCGTTACACAACCCAAGTCCAACTAAAAGTTGACTAGCAATAAAAATAGCTCGGAGAAGGAACTAATAAATAATAATCACACCATGTTTCAGCTTTATTTCTTTTTACGAAGTAGAATATGTGACCAAGAATGATTCGAGTATAATTGAGCAGCTGAATTTAAGAACCAAATAATCAAAGAGAAGATACAATTGGAAATTTGAAAGCTCTGTAGTGCTTGAGCACAGTGAAATTCAACTTAATAGTCTTAATTAGAAGGTCATTCTTGCGTTTATACCTATATAAAGTTACGGAAAGAATAAGCTTTTCTTCTGTCTTGATAAAAAATAAACTAATAGTTGGAAATTTACTCCTAAAACAAGATACGCATTATAACAAATTGGAATATTTTCGAGACACTTCTCTAAAGTTACAAAATGGCAGAAGAGTAAGAAAATTGCAAGTGTAGAAAGGCCATAACCTGTTCTCGCTTTTATAATTAACCATGCTGGTGCTAAAAGCGGAATGTGGCACAGGAAATATCTCACTCTTTGAGATTGAATATATAGTATGACCACAGATTACGCCAATCTGCCTCCGTTTTGTAATGAGTAGCATGTAATAGGGGCCTAAAAATTTGATGAATCCTGGAAAAGGCAAATAAAGTTAAAGGTACAGAATATGATGACAGAGATGATCACAATTTCTTGTGAAGGAAATTTCAAATTCGGCACCAAGTGACTACATACCAACAATGCCATAACATGTTGTGACAAATTTAAGTCCTCCCGTAGCCTGGTTTCCTTCGTGTATCCTTCTCAATAGATCAGAGCACTCCCTTTCACTATATCTGGTAGGATCTTCACGAATGTTAAGCTCACAAGGTTCTGATCTGTCAATTTTCAAAACTTTCCAATATGTTCTATTTTTGTCCCTCCCTACCATATAAAATTTCTGCAACCAAAATGAGAAACACAATAAAATGAAATCAAAACAACTTGCCCGGTGAACAGAAAAGATATATTCACATTCTTTTTCGTAGATTGATAATTCAAATATTAATAGAGTGTAATTCAAGTAACAAGGTTACAACAAGAGAAAAATCGTGCACTTGGGAGTTATTTCAGAAATACAAAATCTGCAATATTAGTCCATACTCCATCGTAGTTTATTTACTCAGCACCGCAGCAAGTAATGAAATCTTTCGGGAATAAAAGATTGATGTGATCACAAACCTATCCATGAACACAATTCGACACGGATAAATAGCATCGAATTACTTTCATTTATGACAAACGCTGTAGCACCTTTAATGGTTGACACGCGGAAGATAAATACTACTTCTCAACATCATCCATTAAACAATGCCCATGCTAAAGTATAGAATAAGCCAACAACACTTGATGAAGTCAATGCTTAGAAACACGCATTTGGTTAATTCTTGAATTGGTCTCTTACTGATTACTGGGATCAAAATGCAGAGATTGGAAACCTAAAATACTGCATCAATCTAGGACATTCTACAGCATGTGTACATTGATTAATAAAGCAAGCAATCGCCAAAACCCAAGTACGGGGAACACACTAATTCAGGTTAATCGAAACATTTATATTTCCAACTGGACCGAGAAAAAATCTCATCTTGAACTGGTTGACAAGCTAACAAGTATCAAAGATCAACTGGAAAGAAAAAAAATAAAATAAAATACCGATCTAGTCTCATATAGCCTGAACTTCTGCATATACCCCTCCTGAGGATGAGCAGAAACCTCCTCCGAGCCAGGTTGTACTCCCTGCTGCTCCGCCTGTACACCGCCCAACACGTCCGCCATGGATCTTCGCTTGACCTCCACGACTCCCGAGCCTCCGAGCTCGGGAATCAAACCGCACTCGAACCCACCCGCGACCCAAAACCGATTCCGCCCCGAGCAGAAACTCCTAACCCCATAACCGCCCCCACAGGCTGCTTCAGATATAGCATTCCTCAGAGAAAAAACGAAAAAATCAATGCCCCAAAAAGCCTTTGACTTTCCTCTTCGCTTTTTCCGATTCGAAAACCTAATTTCAATCTCATGTGCGGATTGCCAACACGCGGCAGCTGATCTTTGACCCAATTGCCAAGAACCGAAATCTTGATGGAATAATTATGCTCAAATTCAACGGGGGAGGAGAATTGTGATCGAATCTAACATGAGGCCCAGATAAAAAAATATATATATAAATGCGTCAAGAAAGAGGGTAAGATTGAGAATATATTCTTGATAAAGCTTGGAGGAATGTGAATACAGAGAACGAGCTGGAGAATTAAATTTTCTCCTTTTTTTTTTTTCCTTTTTCTTCTGATGGGATTTATGAAAATGGCGACGATGAGAGTATTAGGTATCGATTTTGCATAAAATAAGAAAGAAGATTGGTAAAACCATAGACAGCTCGTGATTTTTAAGATATTTAGTGGCAGAATGAAAGCCACATCTTTCTTTAAGATGATGAGCAAATAAAAAGCATAGACAACGTTCTTTTATTCGGGTTTTTTTTTTTTATATGTATTTTTTTGTAATATTTTGTCATGTATGTTATTCTGGAATGCGGCGAGTTTGAGTGGCAGGCTCGTATGCTTCGCAAGTTTATTTGGCACAAATTGATGTTTTGTATTGACACATGATTAGGTTTGGTTTTGACAATTAGGCTTAAGAATTATTGTTTTTCGACGTATATTCCATATTTCGACTCGTTGAAGCTCGGATTGATTTGTTCGTTTAATAAATGTAAAATCCTAAAAATTTGTTCGTGAATAACTCATCTCACATAACAATGAGTTGATTCATAAATTTTTAGAGGATTAATATATATATATAACATTTTTTCTCATTTATTCTTCTTGATATTGTTATTATGTTATGTTTATTAATGTTTCATTCAAACATAACTAGTGCATACCCCGTGCGATGCACGTGATACATATAATAAATCAATTATTTCTATAGGACTTATACGTCTAGATAAAAAAAATAGGCTTGGATCATCCATATTTCACATCTTTTAATAAGTGGCGTTTATTTAAGCCAGAAAATTAACATGTTAATTAATATATAATTTCACTAACACGTCATACTAATATTTATTTGATTTTAGAATACACATTTATTCATTGATATAAGAAATAATAAAAATTTTATTAATTATTGTTCACCATATAATACTCAATTATTATTTTATTATAAAATTTACAGTCATATAATGTAATTATTATTATTTATAAAAGATATAGAAGTAGTATTCTTTATGTAATGAAATTCAAAATAAAATTTTGAGTATAAATGTTTACAAAATACACACACATGTTTTTTAGAATTCAATTTTTTCATAATAATTCTTTTTAAAAAAAAAATGATTTAGCAATTGCCAAAAAATAAATCCCTTACATAATCAAGAGATTTTTTCTAATTTTCATCCTAAGGCTTTATAGTTTATTTAACATACTATGCAATAGAAAATATTTTACAATAAGTTCATTTTATAAACACTAGTACGTGGCCCGTGCGGTACACGGGAAACAATGTTACGATTGTATTATAATAATATATAAATAACGTTAATCATAATATACTCATTGTTTTCAAAACCGAATCAGACCGAACAATTCGACCGGATGTCCTAGGAACTGGTTTATCGACTAGTCTGGTTCGCTTTAATAAAATGTTTGCTAGAGAACTGGTTAACACCAGTCGGTCGAACATGTAGTATTAGTACGAATTTAGATTAAATGGAGATTTTATAAATTATGAATATGAATCATTGAATATTTTTTGCCCATACTTTTGAAAATTAAAATACACGATAAGAAGCAAAAAAAAAAAAAAATAATAAAATAAAAAAAAAAATTAAAAAAAATTGGGCATACAATTTTGAAAACTAAATTTCTTGCAAAAGGATAAAAGTAAATTTTAAAATTTTGTATAAAAAAATTCCTTTGTAAGTCAAACTATTTAAACAGAAAGTCAACTTTTCATTTTTTAATTATCCATCAACCTCTTTCAATATATATAGATAACAAAAAAAAGTTATAAAAACACTATCATAGTTGACAATAATATACAAATAAATAACATGTCGAAATTTTAAACAATAACTAATATAATTTTATTATCTAACCATCAATAAAAATAATTTAATGATGTGATCATTATCTTTTAAATAATAAATAATATTAATTTTTTAAAAAAATATTAGTGTTATATAATTAAATAAAGGTTAAAAAAATTACTCGACAAATATTAATTATAATGGATATCAGTAAAATCATTGCATAAATTATTTAAGAAAAAAAATCTTTAAGATCATATTTGGATAGTAAATGTAAATATGCAAGCATTTAATGCATATAGTAAAAAATTTCTAAATAAAGTATGCATTAAATGTGTGTTGACTTTTATTGTTACTGTTTTTGGTAAATAGGTTGGCTTTTAATATATATCCTCCCTATATATAATTTCAGAATTTGCTGAGCCTACGTGGCTGCTTCTGGTGCTTCGGAATCCTATTTGGCGAAGAATCATGCTTCGTAATTAGGTTTGGACAAATAATATTAATATATTAATAATTAATAATCTAGGTTCGGGTATTCCATAAATATTATTTAGCTAACTTAGGTATTTTAATATCACTTTTACCAATATAACCCTTTAATTATTTGTAATTTTACATAGTGAGACACTAAGTGACTAATATATCCCTAAATTTTGATTTGCTTCATTCAATAAGCTATTGAATTATTAATGTATTTTAAAAGTAGATAACTTTTGTATTTCTTATCGGTTTTACATATATAATATATAAAATTAATCATCTTTTGATGATCTTCGATTTGACATCCATATTGTATATGTAAAATAAATAAATTATATTTATATTTATAATAATAAAAAATAATAATATTTTTAAAATTCATTAGAAAATAAAATTATTTTTCAATTGATATATTTATATTTAATGTAGTTATATAGTGTAAGTTAAAAAATTAGTATAATATAACACAAGTAAGTCGCACAAATAAAAAATATCATAATAAATATAATATATATATATATATATATTCTTATAAAAGGTATTTAAATTTTCAAACTACTTTTTCTCATTAATTTTAAATTTTAAGAAAAAAATTAGCAAGCAGCCGTGTAATACACAGGTGTTATACTAGTTAAGATATTATAACTACAAGTATATAAAAGCCTTAAAAAGTTCATTATGAAAGCCTTAAAAAGTCACTAATAAAAATTCTCTTAAAATCTCAAAAAGTCCACAAAAGTCATGAAAATTTTACAAAGTCCACAAAAATTACCAAATTTAGAAAGTTTTAACAAAGTCCTTAAGAATCACAATTGAATACAACCCCCTTTATTTTGTATACAATCTCCAGGGGTCCGATATAGTTTTGGGCCATGGGCGAATATAAAAGTAATGCCCTTAATCTAAACTGAGAAAATTATATTATCAATATATTTATTTATTTGTAAATTTAAGAATTTTTTGTTTTTAATTGTAAATAAACCAACTTTTACCATACATAAATTCTCGATTTGTAGTTTTTTTTAAGTATATCGTTGTTTTATTTATTTTTACATTTATTATGTATGATTTTAAATTGAATATAGTAATTTTACTATAAAAAAATCATAAAGTGTGTTGCAAATGTAGAAGACCCATCTAGATGCAATTCCCAAGTAAGCAAGTCAAGCCCCAAAAATTTAAAAATAATGTCCACAATCTATATATATATTAAAGCGGAGCAGCTGCCAAATTCCCGCTCAAACTTACATTAATTATTGTATTAATTATATCATAATTTACTTTCACGTTATTTTAGATATTGTCTAACCTTGGAATGTGTATTGTAGTTATTAATCAACTTATGTATTGATTGCAATATTGGGTAATTGTCTTCTTGGAAAATAAGAAGGATAATTTGTCACATTGGAAATGTTAAATTGTAATAGTGCATTCATAAGGGTCATATAGTAATTGATAGTAGTATTTATAAGTACATGGTGAATACACATTTAATTTTGTAGATAATTTGTGTACTAAGAAACTATATAAAGCAAAGTAGCTGGAAATTTTTTTTGTTTTCCCTCCCATTATATATTAAATGTTACTCATTAATTGTTTGATCAATTCAATAATTGTTGTAATTTAAAGCCCTATTGGAATTGTGTATAATAGATATAATATTATTGTGAATGTTAAATAAGTTGGCAACTGTTTTTTCAATACAATTAATAATTTATCAACAAAAACAAAATAATGAGTAATGTCAAAAAAATTTATTAATTATCCTCAATCGATTTATCCATTAAATTTCTAAAACCGTCCACTTTGAATTTTTTCAATTACAAAACCATATATCTTTTCATTACATAACCACAATATAAGGACCTAATGTAATCTTATTTTTAATTATACACCTTTCACAATCGTGAGTCATTTTGAAAGTATAGATTCTTAATCACATAATATAAAATCTAACATGGTTAGTTATATAATGCAACAAAATAAAATTTAATAAAATTTAAAGATTAAAATATGTCATTTTTATATGATGTTTTATGTTAATTCATTGAGTAAATTTTTCGGTGAAAAACATTATAATAACTAAACATAAAATTATAACATATTAACTGTTGTTCTCAAAAATAAAGGTATAAACATATCTATACAACTGGAATATCAATAAAAATTATGTTTCTTTCAAAACTTCATTTATGTTAATGAGATCGACGTGTTTGTACTAAAACATATTATGCATATAAATAAAATAAATAGAAAGAAGATGCAATGAGAGAACGATGACAAAGATACTAAAAGTCAGGTCTTACATATAATATAGTTTATTAAAATAAAATAGACATATTGTTCAAAAAAAAAAAAATACATCTATAGGTTTTTTTAAATCTAGGTGCAAACCAACAGAAATATGTCTAAAAAATGGTGGATAACTTTTACTTAACAATAAAATTTTGAAGATTTAGTTACATAACCAAAACAGTAAATATATAATAACACATTGAAAACATGCAC